TACATAGGATTCATGTTTTTATTTACGGTTTTATTACGTTATATTAAAATATGTTCTATTATACTACCATCTTGGTGGTACGAAGGCAATGCTCGTTTTCGATGAAAATGTATGTTAAGAATAAAATACACATCGAGTAAAAACGAGAAGAGGGGGTCATATCATACATAGCACATCAATAATCAAAGTTTTATTCTTGCGTAGTTTATTTTTAGATATTGATTTGAGCCAACTTACCTATTTACCAATATTTGCAGGACTTCCTCTGGCAATTACAGCTCATTCTACACGAAATACTTTCGAGCGCCATATTGGATACAATAGCAATGCCTAATCACATCAAAAGTATAAGGCAAACCTTATAACTTTTAGTCATAAGGCTTGCCTTATACTTTTGATTAGGAAAACAGATACAAGATATGTGGAAGGTGTATGCATGATATGTTCAAGGTTTATAAAAAAGATGAGTTTTCATATAAAAAGTATTTGTTATTTAGACATAAACAGTATTAGTTTAGCTTAATGAATTAAATAATTAGAATTCTTTGAGTGTGGGAGAAATCTTCCATTTTTGTAAATAAGAAGAGAAAATATCTAAACTTTTCTGCAGTCTGCTGCAAATAACACGAAGACTTCTTCCTTTAGCGGAAATGCCTGTGTCATCAGCGAACAAAGACTTGTGGCAACCCTGAGGCAAATCAGGGAGGTCCGAAGTGAAAATGTTATACAATATAGGACCAAGAATGCTACCCTGAGGAACTCCTGCTCTAACAGGTAATCTATTAGATTTGGATTTTTGATAATTTACCTGCAGAGTTCTGTCCGTTAAATAATTTTGAACTAATTTCATAATGTAAAGTGGAAAATTAAACTTTTTCAATTTATCAATCAAACCTTCATGCCAAACACTGTCGAATGCTTTTTCTACGTCCATTTATCAGGAAAGTATGCCAAACGGAAACATCTGTTAAATAATTTTACCAAGAAAGACAAGGTACTCTCTGGGAGTTTTTTGATGAGGATATAGAAAATTCCATCATCACCTGGAGCTTTCATATTTTGAAAATTTTTAGTTATAGACCTTACTTCGTCCAAATCAGTCCCCCAGGAATCATCAAAATTATTTTCCCGAGAGAAAATATTCAGATAATCCCGAGCAACCTGATTCTCAATAGGACTAGTCAGACCCAAACTGAAATTATGGGAACTCTCGAATTGCTTAGCAAGTTTCTGAGCTTTTTCCAAATTTGTGATCAAAATTTTACCACCTTCTTTAAGCGCTGGAATTGGCTTTTGAGGTTTTTTCAAAATTTTTGTGAGTTTCCAAAAGGGTTTGGAACTCGGGTCTAATTTAGAAACATTATTTTCAAAACTTTTGTTCCTCAGGCCAGAGAATCGCTTTTTAATTTGTTTTTGCAAATCCCGCCAGATAACTTTCATGGCAGGATCGCGTGTTCTTTGATATTGTCTCCTACGGACATTTTTAAGACGGATCAAGAGCTGAAGATCGTCGTCTATTATAATTGAATCGAATTTAACCTCGCATTTTGGTACTGAGGCAGCTCTTGCTTCACTATAGAAGTAGTCAGAGATTCAAGAGCATAATTAATTTCATCTTTGGTTTGCAAAGGAATGTTTGGATCGAAGTTATATTCCATAAATGTTCGATATTGCTCCCAATCAGCCCTATGGTAATTGAAAGTAGAGCTGTTGGGATTACAAATTATTTCTTGGGATATTTCAAAAGTTACTGGAAGGTGATCAGAACCGAAGTCAGCATGGGTAACCAATTGGCTACAAAGTTGACATGAATCAGTTACGACCAAATCAATAGTTGAGGGATTTCTTGCAGAAGAAAAGCATGTTGGGCTGTTTGGATATTGAATAGTGTAATAGCCTGCAGAACAATCATCAAACAAATATTACCATTGGAATTGCTTTGAGCATTATTCCATGAGCGGTGTTTTGCATTAAAATCACCAATAATGAAGAATTTAGAAATATGACGGGTAAGTTTCTGGAGGTCACCCTTGAGATAATTCTTTTGCTGGCCTACGCATTGGAATGGCAAATAGGCAGCTATAAACGTAAGTTGTCCAAATTTTGTTTCAACAGAAACTCCCAAAGCTTCAAAACCTTTGGTTTCAAATGAAGAAAGAATGTTATGTTTGATTCGTCTATGAACAATGATGGCAACGCCACCACAGGGTCCATCAAGACGATCATTTCTATAAATTAAATAATTTGAGTCCTTCTTAACCTTATGGTCAGGTTTAAGGAATGTTTCAGTTAAAACGGGAATATGCACGTTATGAACTCTCAAAAAGTTAAATAGCTCGTCTTCATTATCTTTAAGAGATCTAGCATTCCAATTTAAATTGTTTAATGCTTTAAAATCCATTACTGAATTTTAAAGTCATGACAATATTATTTGCAAATTTTACTCCAGTTTGAATAGAATCAAACATGGAGTTAGATTTAAGCATATCAGAAATCATGTCAATTAATGATTTCTGTAAAAATTCCATTTCCGATGGAATTACGTTGGTTAGTATTTTGATTTCTACCCGTTGCAATAGCAGCATAGGTAGCTCCATTAACTCGCTGAACATTGTTAGCAGCGAAGGGAGTAGGTATAGATAAAACATTTGAAGCAGGGGTGATATTTGTACCTACGGGTACGAATGTAGAATTTGTTCCTCGCTGACCGTTGTTAACAGCAGATGAATTTGTAGCTGGCCGGAAACGTGGATCGTTTCCTACCTGCCCTGCCCAGCTACCTGTCTTGCTTTTTCCAAGGCCTTAAGGTTGTTTAGTTCACTAGACTTGAAGTGAACTAAATAAAAATCATTGGAAATACCGTTGCGCGAATTGCCAGGACGTGATTTCATATTCATTTTGATTACTTGGAGTGGCACAACTCCTAGTAGTTTTGCCAGTTCATCTTTGATCTGATCCAGGGATTCACCACTGGGCAGTCCTTTCATGACAACACACGTTCAGTTTTGGTATCGTAAGTAAAAAAAATTGAGCTGCTTCTCAGTAAGATACTTGAGAAGACATTTAAATCCATCCAAGGTTTCAGCCAATACACGGCATTCACCCCAACGTCCAATTTGTAGTGAAAATTTAACTTTCACGAAGTTCAAAAGTTCCATGCGAAGTGCATGGAAATCGGAAGTGGTTATCACAATAGGGGGAATCTTTTTCTTCTTGGCATACAGCCGGGATAATGGATCATTCTCATCATCCGTGAGCAAATCAAATTGATTACTCAAATTAATTTCATCAGAAGGAGGATCAAGAGTTTGGCCTTTTCTGTTGCGCTTAGGTGCCATGGCGACAGTAAATTTTTATCCAAATCGACTTCCAAGCATATTACTATAAGAATATGAAGGATCGAAGAGGAATTTTCCAAATCGATATCCAAGAAGGATTACCTCGGATAGGGTCCAAACAAGGATCGAAGAGGAATAAGAGTTGAAGAAGGTAGAAATTTTACAGGTTGGGCACTGAAAAGTGCTGTTTAAATTTGTTGTAGCTTTAGGTAGTAGTAACACTTCCTTCAGCAAAAAGCAAGTAGATCCGCATGGCAAGAAAGAGCATGATGCGGACTGACCATCATCAACATTGTTTTGTCTAATGGTCTACTCCACTGCCTTCCATACCCAACACTATCTACCACAAAAATTAAAGAAATTAAATTACCTTCAATTAAATCAGTCAAGCCTATTTGTATACGAACAATATTTAGTGGGACTGTTATGCCGAGAAATTAGCTATGAAGTAGAAAATTCTACACATGTCAGTCCCACTAGGAACTGTTACTTTCTGTGTTGCTTTGATGGCCACGTTGCGTTTGACGTCTTTACTCTTGTGCTTGCCTGAGCGTGCTTGCTTTTGCTCCGAAGTTTTAGAAGTTCCTGAATAGTTTGCATAGGTTTGCACCATTAATTGATACCAATCGTCGATACCAATCGTACTTCTATAAATCCATTAAAAGTATGGGCATCTCGAGAAACTAATAATGAATGCTCTGTGTGGAACAAAAACTTCTTTGCATGTTGTTCTACTCCTTAGCAATACGAACGTACGACTAAAGGAGATTGTGCTTAATCATTTTGAGTCCTACCATACATTTATGGCGGCTGACATTTTGTGGTCAAAAGATCAATATGTCACACGATCGTCGATCATGGGCTTCGATGATTTCAAGAAATACCTACTTTGAAAGAGTTAACAGGGGACACTATAGTGTGGGGTGGCGAGCATTTACGTAACTGTCTATAATAATGCATTGTTTGAAATTAGAACTTTGACCTGGTGTTTCAATACGAATTCCTGTTTATCTTAATATTTTTCAACATAAAATAAAACTCTATTTCCCTAAATGGGTAATACCTTTTCTTTTGATCATATAAACCTGTTTCAATAATTCGTGCACTCAAATCGATTCGTTAATGATAGATTCAGCAAAGAAAATCTTTGTGGGACAGTTATGCGTAGAATTTCAACATGGGACAAATCAAGACCAACAATTGAAATGGCCTTAACTCCATTTTGTAAACAAACCTTGTAAGGACATTTTCTCGCAAACCGAAACCTTCATTCGCAAACCTAAACCACAATCGGGTAGAGGAGAATTTCCCCTTTATGTTCATTTTGTTGGTTTGCCTTTGCGGAATTCGGTTCGCGAGAAAATGGCCTTACAAGGTTTGTTTACAAAATGGAGTTAAGGCCATTTCAATTTGTTGGTCTTGAAATAGACTTGATGTTGTTTTTGTATAAGCCCAGAACAAATTACATGTTTTTCTACTGTCATTCGAAAAAAAATTCCCTTTCTGTTAAAAAGGGGAAATATTGAAAACCTCCTGCTTCCGATCATAAATTAAAAAATAGACATGTGAAGTCAATTCGTCCATCTCGTTGAAGATTTCTGACATCCTTGTACGGTAGCTAAAACCCAGAAACAAACAAAACGCATAAAATCAGTTACGCCCAACTACCACTTCAACATTTTTATTCTTCATCTCGGTACATATCTACATAGACACAGTTTAATCTTAGCATTATTATATTAGAAATGAAAATGGGTTTAAATCTAAATCCTTCACAACAGACGCTTCCACGCATGAGAAGCGCTCGCTCTAGTCCGGTTAATTCCTGCAATGTAAATCCTTTACCTTCTAAGAGCTAATTATTTGACTGTTTGCTTTCTTGATTATGTCTACTAGATAATCAAACGCGCTAGTGAAAGATATTTGTATTTCAACAATATATTAGCTGTTTCCACTGGCATTTAAATACAACATTCGATTCCAACTAGGTACATACTAGCCTGATAGCGATAAAAATTGTGCCGGAAAACTAGTTTTGGAAAAAAAATAGTACAATCAAATCCGCAAAGGATGTGGAACACATAACGTAGGTTCAAAAAAATGTTTAACATTCCTGTGTAAGCGTTTTGATCTGATTTTCGTTTCTGTTTTTTATATATACTAAGAATTAGAAGCGCGCTATTAATCTAAATCTATACGGGCATCGTTAATGTGCCCCGAGTTGTATTTGGAGTGCTTCATATTTCTCAGTGATTCGACCAAGTCTTCCATCGTGATGGCCGGAGCTTCGTCCAGCATTGGAGATCCAACGGAAGACGCTGGCGTACTGCAGTGGCCATTCGTCATTCCGTTGGCCTTTGCGGCTTCGGCTGCTGCTGCTGCAGCTGCTGCAATTTCCTTAGTCTTTTCACGCATCACCTTCCGGATTCGGTAGACGGAAGCATTCCGGCACATCTCCCGCAAATCTGACCCGGAGTATCCATTCGTCATACGTGCCAGCTGAGCATACTCAACGTCGGTGGCAAGTTTCTCCTGTCGCAAGATCAATTGCAAGATCTTCAATCGCTGATCTTCGCTCGGTAGTCCAATGTGGAACTGTGCCGGCATTCGTCGCAGGATGGCCTTATCCAAGTCTTGCGGCCGATTGGTTGCTCCCATGACGATGACGGTCGAATCGGATTCCGTATTCAACCCATCCCACAGCATCATGAACTGGGTCTTCATCATGGCCGTAGCTTCGTGGTCGGAAGAATTGCGAGCCCGGAGGAACGAATCAATTTCATCGATAAAAATGATGCACGGTTGGATTTTAACGGCCAGGGAGAACACGGCCGAGGCGAGTTTCTGCGATTCGCCGTACCACTTGTCGGTTAGCATAGCAACATCCAGATTGATAAAACGCATACCAGCTTCCTTGGCAGTTGCTTTGGCTATCAGGGTCTTACCGCAACCTGTGGGAGTATTTTTGCGAAATTTTAGTCCGAGTGATTCTCCAGAGGAAACCGTCTATTCATACCTGGTGGTCCGTACAGAAGCACTCCTTTCGGTGCTTGATAGAGCGATGATGCCGGGAACATATCACGATGACATACTGGGAATACCAAACTCTCCTTGATTTCCTGACAAACATGTTCCAGTCCAGCGATACTATCCCAACTGACGCTGATGTTTTCCGGCACAACCAAATGGGAAGCGATGACCAGCTCGTAGTCATTCAGATTGGTCAGAGCAGTCTTTTTAATGTTCGGGCCAAGTCTAGAGATGAATGAAACGAAAATAGAATTGCAATGAGTATAATATCAACCATTCATGAATGCAAAGACCACTCATCGGGGTTATTTGGTCGAGTCAAAAGCGAAAGTTGATCCCAAATTACCAGAACTTGGTTATCGACTTGAATTGAGCTTTTTGTCCATTTCTCAAAAGAATTATAAGCGACAGTTCATTTTCACGCATGAAATGGTATAATAAAGCCATGGTAATAATTTTGAAGGTCGAAACATAATCATTACCCAACAAAATCGATCAACACTAAAAACACACTTCCGATTCCGCGAATCTATCGACCCTATTCATCGAACATTACGTAACAGTGCAGAAAGCAAGAAAGGAACCTGCAAGGCGCCAGTCAAGAGCCAGCAGCCCAAGTCCCAAAATAGTAGCAATTCCCAGACGAAAATGTAGACGAGCTGTAAATTGGACTTTCAACCCTTCGTCGTCTTCGTTGTACAACTCACTTTCTCAGAATGTCCTCCGCTTTATCGATGGCTTTCTTTTTGCTCTTGTTGGTCGGGTCCAGGTTCTTCATGAGCCATTTGGCCGAATAGTAGGTGACAATCGAAACTAGCGAAATTCGCAGCACAAACTGCACCACCTCGTTGCGACTGATGCTTGCTCCGGACATGGCTTCTTCTCTTCGAACTGACGGACGGTCCACAAATCCTCCCCACGAATCCCGTCGTACACCGGTATTTCCGATGTAAATTAAATTTTCAACCAGCTATAGGTCTTGCACTGCGTGATGGGGCACTTTATTCACAAAAATCGAAGAATAAATCACACGAAAACGGAGTCGGAGAATATGTATATTGCGATACGCAACACACGACGGATAGCTGAAATTTTTCTCCGTTCTGATTTTTGACGTTTCGATTTGACAGCATAAACGCGTAATCAGCCGATGTGTTGCAACAAAGATCAAAAAATTGAAGGTCTTTAAACCGCTGGGCTTCTGAGAGGTACTAGTTTACAAAAAGTTTTCCATTAGGTGTTCTGGTTATTGCAAATTATTTATTTATTTATTTATTAATTTCGAGTTTATTGGCGATCGACCAGCTGATGTAAATTATGTGAAAATGGTAGTGACGTTTTGCTATCTGTCAAATCATATGGAATATTACCAACAATCAATACGAAACTATCAATTTTAAATTGGCTCACTACACAGCAAAAAAAATGTAATATCGATGAATGTAATTCTGAAACGGCGCCGGTGGTGTAGTGGTAAGCGTGATTACCTCTCACCCCAGCAGGCCTGCGTTCAATCCCAGTCGGCGCCGCCGGGATGTTCTGAGGCATAACATCTCTGATCACGCCTTCCTTCGGATGGGAAGTAAAGCCGTTGGTCCCCGGTTCATGAGTTGATGGGTCGATAGGTAGGGTCCAGGTGTGGGAGCTGCCTTCCCGCATAAACGCAAACCATCACTTGACCTTACCGATAATGGTTATAAATTGTTTATAATCCCTCCTAAACTTTAACTGAAATGGTTTTGGAACCTTACAAGAACGTTTGTGTGATAAAGTTTTAACCTTATGTATTATGGTTTTAAGGAAGCGGACCTTACAAATAATGGGTCGTTATGAACCATTACCATTCCAAATTCTTGTTTTCTCCATACATTTTCGGAAAGAGAACTATATTAGAACGTTTTTACTTATGGTTTGAGAACATTAATGATTATGGTTATGGTAGTCAGTAAGGTCCATTAATCGTTTTGTATTATCGCTCAACTTTACGAGGAATATATCGCGAACTGATAATTATTAATTTACAGGCAACCAATTCGCGATATATTCCACATAAAGTTGATCGATGTTACAAAACCATTCGTGGACCTTACTGACTACCATAACCATAACCATTAATGTTCTCAAACCATAAGTTTTTTTTTTCCTTTATTAACGAGACTTTCAGCCTTAGGCTGGTTCATCTCTAGCAAACCATAAGTAAAAACGTTCTAATATAGTTCTCTTTCCGAAAATGTATGGAGAAAACAAGAATTTGAAATGGTAATTGTTCTTAACAACCGATTATTTGTAAGGTCCGCTTCCTAAAAACGATAATACATAAGGTTAAAACTTTATCACACAAACGTTCATGTAAGGTTCCAAAACCATTTCAGTTAAAGTTAAGGAGGGATTATAAACAATTTATAACCATTATCGGTAAGGGCAATTTATGGTTCACGTTTATGCGGGTTCCTGGCACGTCGGTAGCATTGGTGCTCAGCACGGAAAACAAGATCGACGGAAAAAACAAACCAAAGGAAAAAAAAAAGATGAATGTAATTCAAGCTGTTGTATGAAATAATGATGTAATAGCAAAAAGCAGATACAATATTAAATCAATGGATATAATTTTGTTCGCAAAATCGCAAAATCGATATTACACAACCGATGGATTGACCTGCACACAAAGAAAAATCGTTGTTAAAATTTAAAAAAACATCGGTAAAATTTAAAGTTTGCGTTGGTTCTTTTTGGTAGAAGGCGGTTAGCTTTCAAAATGACAGTCATCCAACTGTCAAATCAATAGTTTCCCAATCATTACTTTTAAAAGTTAAAAAATTTCAAATAAATTGCACTACTGTCAAATGAAAAGTATGACAGTGCTGAAATTAAAAGTGAATAACTTTTGATTCCAAAATAGAATTTGAGTTTAAAGTCTGGTATAGTTGAAATAACATGTGTCGTTTGATAATTAAATGAGGAACATATTTTTAATTTAAATATAAAAGTTTTCATTTTAAATTCTATTGAACATCAAATTAAAAGTTTTTTTTATTATTCGAAAGAAAGAACCGAAAGTATCTTTATTATTTAGTAATACCTTGTACAGACATACAAAGTACACTGTTGTACTACCGTTGTATTTCTTTAAGCTTGTACCTCAAATTGTACCTTTTGAGGTACTTGATTAAAGGAGTACAACGGTACTGCTTTGTATGTCTGTCAATGGTATAATTCTCGTTTTTTGATCAAATCACCGAACAAACTGGTTAGAACCTCCAAACCAAGATTGTGCAGGTACAGGTGGTGAAGACTCCGGTTCGAGATCGTGGACTGGTTTAATCACATGCACCGGAGCACGAACTTCCAAGCCGCCAAGAATCGGCCACAATCACCAGGTTGGAAACACTATGAAAGGAAAGTTAGATAAAAGTCATTAATGCAAACATTGTCATTTGAGTATAAATAAGTTGTTTATACCTACCATAATCATTAAACTCAATGATTCCCTGTGGCCGCCATCAGTTCCAATTCGTGACTCGGATAGACTCGGTTGTCTGTTGTACCACCATTTTCAGTTCAGGATAAGCAAGTGGCCAGCCGGTGGCAAATACAATGTCGCTTGACTAAGTCATGATTTTCCCGGTGCTCCTGGAATCCCCTTATACCAACAATCAATACGAAACTAACGATTTTAAATTGGCTCACCACTTTAGTAGCCTATTGGTCCCAAGCAAATTGGGTTCTTTAATTTTGAAAAATGTATCGTTTTTTATACATCATCTGAAAAAGCGATTGCATCTGAAACTGGACTGTCCCAAAAATGCAAAAAGTGTGATAGAAGTGCACATTTCCTTCAAATCGTTTTGATGTCTAGGGAGCACGTATTGCTTGCATCATAAGGAATAAGTGCACCGAAGACGGTTAGATGTAAACTTGCAATTTTATCAAATGCATCAAATGCAATCAATGCAAATTGGTGTGAAATGCGCAATACACTATTGTATGCGATTGTTGGCCATATATTTGGTTGTATTTGTATTTTATTGTATGGGTATTTTTCCTTAAATGTTTTTACGTTGATTTGAATGAGTCCAAAAAAGCCCGCCACGACGGTATGTTGATCGTGTACCTCTTTTTTTTTTTCAATAACCTCTTTTCAAATGCGAATGTGCAAGCTTGTAGGGGCCCTCTCTCTCTCCCTCTCTCTGGCGTCGTGAATCAGCTGTCATGAGACAAGAAAAGAGGAAGAGATAACAGAAAGCGTGCGCGATTTCTACCAAAGACAGGTGCGGATTTGTTTGTCGGGATTCTTCATAATCAACTTTTGGCGAATTTAGTGCTATACTCATCTCAAAATTGTGAAAACCTTGTTTCTGCTGTATTTACCTAAAATAACCTGCCTGGTAAAATTGTTGAAAGAGGTAAATTTACACGGACCGTCAATTTCAAATTGGCACACATTTTCCTCACAGGTTGAGGTTAGGAAGGTCGGAAGCGGAATCGTACTTTGTGTAATTTCTATTTAATGCCGTTCAATGTTCGGGGTTGCCTTGAAACTGCATTAAAAAAGAAGTCCTAAGTATGATTCAATAGTGGAGTATCGTACTAGTTGTTCTTATTAGTTCAACATAGTGTTATTTGATGCTTAAATTCCGCGAATCGCGATACTTCCTCCGCTAGTGTGCCAGGTGATGATGGCTTTTCCTCTCCTTTCACTCACACATGTTTATCTGTTTTGAAACAATGCAGAAAGTGGAAATCAAAACAAAAACAAACTCGTCGCAAGGCCTTGCTGCACTGCTAGCGAGAAGAAAAGTATCCATCTAGCTACTTACTAGTGTCGTGTGCTCTGCTGATTGTGTACACCCCAACCTCAGGAGGAGTGAACCTGTTATTCAACTAATTTTCTTCTTATTTGCGACGACATCTCGCCAGGAGAGGACATTTTGTTGGCTGATAGTAGAGGGAAACCTTGTTACGGTAAGTGTGTTATTCGGGTCAATAGCAAAACTACGTCTTATCTCGCCTATCAGTAGTATCGCGTGTGTTTGGTGTTGCTAATTGGAAAAAAATCTCGTTTAATGCAGGATACTCGACTACGGCCCACGTTTAGTTGCACACGGTGCATGTGCAGTCGTGCCATTAGCCTGCAGAAGTTGCTAGTTCGATCGAATAGCTTGTATAGAGCGTCGATAGCGGCAGCAGTTTCTTCGCAGAGACGAGCTTCATCAGCGACGGCAGTAGCATCAGCACCGATGAAGTACATTCTGGTAACCGGTGGTGTCATCAGTGGCGTCGGCAAGGGTGTCATTGCCAGTTCCTTCGGAACGTTGCTTCATGCGTGCGGAATTGGCGTCACTTCGATTAAGATCGATCCGTACATCAACATCGATGCAGGGACGTTTTCACCGTACGAGCATGGTAAGTGTAGTTTGCTGTCAGACGAGAGGAGTGTGTCGGATAGGAAAAACGTGTTTATTTATATCCCTTCCCCCGGGCCCTGATTTGATGAGGTTGTTGTTGGCGTTGCAACCGAAGCTTGAAGCTATTGGACAATGTGTTCGTTGACAAATTCTCAGTGTTGCTAGATAGTTCATGATTGTTTCCCCCCAGAGAGACTCTATTCTATTCATACGTTGAAGCATTGCACTAGCCATTTTCATACGGAGCTGCATATGGTTTGACCTTGAAGGCATATAATTATTTCATATGCCCAATTTTGTGTTTTCTAGTCGTAGGGTAAATGACGGTTTCGACAATATCTTTACCTATCATCGTCAGGGTATTAAAACAATCCTTGAGCGCTCAACTCAGCGCCAATCGATGCTCTGAAACATGATGCATCCTCTTACAAAAACTTTGATTATCCCCTGACGATAATATGTTACGATCTTGCCGATGCCAAAACGTAAAAGTATATTTCAACCATTTTGCATTATTTTTAGCAAGTGATCCACTTGCATGTTTCTCAACTGCGGTATTCAAATACAGAAATTCAGTAATAAATCTTTTTTTTTTTCAAAAATGTTGGTACATAACTAGAAATTTTTAAATTTGGTAAACTCCAAGAACCAATATCTCTAAATTCAGGAAAAAAATTTCAACGTAGATTTAAAATGTTTTCTTAATCTCAGAGTTTTTAAACGAGAGGCTGGCATAAACTCGTCCTACATGGAGTATCATCCAATTTTTTTTTACTCGAGCACTACCCTCTCCGTCTTTAGCCTATCGACATGGTTATGGAAATTTCCCCAATGCCACCCACCGAAAGCAATCAAATTGAATGGTGTAGCCTCTTGCTACTCAGAAGGGAAAATGTTTCAGGGTTTTAGCTGAGCACTGGGTCGCTTATATTCACTGAGCACTTTCACATAAACCTCAACAGAAGTCACTCGCCCTAGCAGGAGCGAAAGTCATCGTTCATTGTTAGTTCCTGATGCACGAAACGGTTAATAGTGGACTTCACCGATCGAAGCCTGGATACCCCTTTCGGGCAAGATAATCGGGAAATAAAAACACAAAGATGGCGTATATAAATACCGTAGGGAGTGCTTCCTTGAAAATTAAGTTGACACCTATTCTAGTTTAACATGCTTGCTTTGCTTTTATTGGCCTAGTCTGGGGCTTCTTTTTTTAGAGAGAGACATCACTATAGGTGGACTTATTATTATTATTTAGCTTTATTTAGGAGGCTTTCAGCCTTAGGCTGGTTCGCCTCCAATATAGGTGGACTTGCGGTTTGGCGGCATGCGGTGTATACGGTGTCTAGCATGGGTGGTGAAACAAGCGCTTCTCTGTCCGGTCTCCGACGGGTTCGACCGAATTCCCGGAATTTTCGGGCTGCCCGACGGGAAATAATCGAAGGCGTGTCGACGCTCAAAATTGGTCGGTTCCAGTTGATGTGGTTGCTTCGAGGGTAAACACGTGCCGTTTTGTCACTACTTCTGGCGACGGGAAAATGGCGGCCACTATGTTTCTTTAATCGTGTTCTACCCCAGACAGACTATGGCTTATATAATGTAATATAGGCCGTCTTGCAATGCGCAATGGCTATGCTACCGTCCCCTGATCTTCAAGAAGTTGAGGAGGAGATCGGTCGACTGAAGAACAACAAAACAACTGGTGTAGATGAACTACCAAGTGAGCTATTAAATACGGTGGTAAAGCACTGTCTAGAACGCTGCACTGGGTAATTGCCAAGATTTGGGAGGAGGAGATATTACCGGAGGAGTTGATGGAAGATGTCGTATGCCCAATCTACAAAAAGGGCGACAAGTTGGATTGCTGCAACTACCGCGCGAAAACACTGCTGAGCGCCGCCTACAAGGTACTCTCCCAAATTCTATGCCACCGCCTGCCACCATTTGCAAGAGAGTTCGTGGGGCAATACCAGGCGGGATTCATGGGTGCCCGCGCTACCACGGAACAAATTTTCCCGATTCGGCAGGTTCTGCAGAAATGCCGCGAATACACCGTGCCCACATTTGTTCGTCGATTTCAAATCCGCATACGACACAATCGATCGAGATCAGCTATGCCAGATTATGCACGAGTACGGATTTCCGGATAAACTGACGCGATTGATCAAGGAGACGATGGATCGAGTTATGTGCGTTGTTCGAGTATCGGGGACACTCTCGAGTCCCTTTGAATCTCGAAGGGGGCTACGACTAGGTGATGGACTTTCGTGTCTGCTGTTCAACATCGCGTTAGAAGGTGTGATCAGAAGAGCTGGGTTAGACACGAGTGGCACGATATTCATGAAGTTCATCCAGATCCTTGGCTTCGCCGATGACATTGACATTATGGCACGGAACTTTGAGATGATGGCGGAAACGTACATCAGACTGAAGGCTGAAGCTAGTGGCTTTTGAAATTGAAATACGGAATACTAAACATAATATTGGACTGTTCAATATTCTGAATAAAATTTCGATTGTGATCAGAAATGCAGGAAATTTTAAGGAGAAGTTAAAGGTCTTCTGAAGAGAATTTATAAGAATGTATCGGCAGTATAGCCAATTCAAAGGAAAACTATGCAGAAATCTAAGAGAATCGAGCTCTGAAGATAGCTATAAAGAAATTCTGGAGGAGGAAGAACATTTTTACGAGAGTTTCAAAGAATTTCAGGAGACAATTCAAAGGAGTATTCTAAGGATAGTTCCAATGAAATCTCTAGTCAATGTTTATGAGAATTTCAAGCGATTCCTGAGAAAAGGTCCAAGAGAACTTGGAAGAGTGTTCCTCCTGAAAAGTATTTCATAGATATGTTGTCATATATTCGAAGATAATGTTGGTCAAAACTTCTAGAGAAATTTTAGGAGATTTCCATGACAATTCTGGGCAATATTTCTGAAATATTAAGAAGGTTTTAGAACCAATCCAAAGAATTTGAAGAGAATTCTTAGGGTCCAAAAATGTACTCTCCTCTTTGTAGAAAACTGACTATACCTTAGTAAATAAATAGACAGCGTCCTCTGCAAAGTTGCTTCCTATAATATGTTCTACTACTTTTCGAAATATACTAACTGTAAAATGATGAAGAGGTGGAAATTGTTACAAATTGTCCTAATTAAATGAAAATTTTCCAATTTTTTGGTGAGATGTGCTTCATACAGGACTGCAGACCTTCAATATTCTTTATTGGAACTTACGTACAATGATTTTCATTTTAATTGATGCCTTGCCGCCGTTATCAATGTGTTTGAAGTTGTTTGTGGTGAGGTTTGTAAAGGAGGTTTTTCAAACTACTAATAGCACCCGCACCAATGCATTGCTAAAGCTATTTTAGCGAACTCCTCCAAGAAAGGAAGAAAGTCACCTGCAATTTCTCGTTTGCGGCAATTGCAGACAGTTTTAGTCAGGGAGTTAGAAGGTGGTAGCTCTATTGCAGATCCAGCAATCCATTTCAGAATGCCTGGTAATTCACGTCCATTCCGAGGTTTCTTTCACTCACAATAAGCCCCCAAGTTAAATTTAGATATTTAATTTATAAAGAATAATAATTGGCCCGGTTGTTATGTTTGTAATTATTCATGAACTATGTGATAAGAATAATTATTCGATAAGCAAAAACACAGCACAAAATCAATCCCGCTGCCCGTCGCCGATCGCATCATTATTCGACCATCTGAGCGGAACCCACTTTGAAAAACGTTCTCACGACAACACCAATGCTGCCACGTCATCGCACCGGCAGAAAGCGAAAGTGAAAAAAAAAAACACGAAAGCGGTCCCTGGTTGCGTAGTCATATAGAAGATTGTTCTGCCTTCAGAACCCGTGGCAGACAATACCGGAAAGTGTGAAAAAGGCACCAGTCAGAAACCTTTGTAAGAGGAGTTGCCGTTCCGGATCAGAGCGCGTACATCGCGATCAAGGATTCCACAAGTTATGTCGTTTTCGTTTTTGCGGTGTAGCACCGGTGTAGTGTAAGCAGGAATAAGCGCCAGTCTTTGACAGCTCAACATCATTTGTTTATAAACAAAGGTGCATCCTATATCTACACCCTAAAATATTTCGGTGTACGACAGTGTAGCACCGGTGTAGCTACACCGCAAAAACGAAAACGACATTAATCCCTGCTGTTGGACCCCTTTGACACGCGGGCCAGTCGGAGGCTGTGGTACGGAGATTCTCCAGCATGGCAGTTATCGATCGAAAACCACACAACTCATTGGCCATCCGTCGGATCCCTGCCGATTAGAAGGACCTCGAGCACGTTGAACCGGTAACGAACCGCAAACATTCCCGTCAACCAGGCACGTGTACGTCACTCGTTGATCGAAAACTGCATAACTCATTCCCCCTTACTCTGCGAGTCACGTGACTCTCTCTCACCGGTGAGGTGACAATTGTCACCTCACCGGTGACAGAGAGTCATGTGACTCGCAGAATAAGGGGGATTGTACATCCGTCGAATCCCTACCGATTAAAACGACCTCGAGCACGTTCGAGCGGTAACGTACAAAAACAGGCCCATCATCCACACACTTAGATTTTTTTTGCCGAGATGGGCACCACCGAGCAGCTCGGCATTTTATTTTGCTGGAAATTCAGCAAAAAATATGTTTGTTAGCTGAGATCTCGGCAAAATTCCCGTTTGTTAGCTGAATATCGGCAAGTTTTTCACTGAGATCCAGCAAAATAAAATGCCGAGGTGCTCGGTGGTGCCCATCTCGGCGAAAACATCTAAGTGTGCAGACAGAATAAACGACCTCTCAACGAGTCGACGGTGCTTCGGGTGACTCGCCAAGAAGAGGGTCGAAAGCAAGCGGAACGGAGCTTCCAGTAAATTGTCCGGTAGGAACGCGACACACGTAGGCATCCAGTGAAAAGCGACGGTTGCGAGAGACAATCGCAAACAAATCATCGGCGCTGCAAGTGCGTGGGCCGAACGTTCGCAATTTAAGGATTGGTCGTT